AGATCTGTTCCTTTAGCTCTAACCCTGTAGTCTGTTTCCCATGCTTAGTCATGCTTGTTCTGCACTTTCTAGTAAAAAAAAAGTTGCCTAGAGCCTGAAATATACAGGATAGCCTGTTCTCAAGCTCTGATCTATAAGGGTAGAACACTCTTCCATTCCTATAGAGATAAAAAGTTGCAGAACAGAGAATAACGTTTATCTTGTTGGAGGTTTACAGGAACATTATGAACTGACCCTCTTGGACAGCTGCAAGAACAAAGGATTCTGACACAAAGGAGTTTGCAACAACCAACCACACCCCTCCCCTTTTTAGTATAAAAGGAGCCTGAACTCTGACTTGGGGAAGACGGTTCTTCTGCCATCTTCCCAGTCTGCTGGCTTTCCAAATAAAGTTGTGATTCCTTGCCCCAACACCTTGTCTCCCGATTTGCTAGCCTGTTGTGTGGCGAGCAGAACGAGTTTGGATTCGGTAACACCGCATCATCTCACAGTCCAATAGGAGCTTCCTTCCCTGCTCTTCTTGAAGGTGTTTACTTGGTGCATTTGGCACTCAACAATTTCATCAGGCCCCAAGTAACTCCCATCTCTTGTTTTCCCAGGAAATTTCTTTTACTGATCTCCTGAATCACAGTACTATTTCTCACTTTTTTTGTAACCTCATTCTCTAGGCCTGTTTACACTCTTGGATCACAACTTTTCAATAAAAAGGGAAGTTCATTCAGCCTCCATGGAGGTTCCCGCATGGCTGTGGCCCTCACAAGAGGCTTGTGTACCTACAAGCACTGCCATCACTGACGGAGAGGCAGCAGAAAGCCCCCAAGAAGTGCGGATGTGCTCATAATAGCCGTCCAGCCAACCTGGGCAACAGAGCAGCTCTGCCCTGCCAAGAACGAAGAGTATATTTACACGCCGGGGGCCACGTCTCCAGAAGTTTCCCAAGTTAGGCAACACATCTCATTTAGGCCACTTCTCTGAGTAACTTATGCTTCGTTGCTAAACTGCCAAATTCACCATTAACATCCATGAACTCTGCCCTTGTACCACATGAATAATACAAAGAAACAGTTAGTCCCTACCTTAGGGCTTTATTTCTTAAGGCTAGGGATCATCTGCGGTTATTAAGATATAAAGTATACTGTTTCTTTTCAATTCCACATACCAGGAGGGAGTTTTCCTTTCAGTTTTCTTGAATTCCAAGTAATTGCACTGTCACCATCCTTAGCGGGGGATGCAGGAAATTCCACACACTCTGTTCTCTCTGCAAATGCGTGGAATCTGAAACGGGAAGAGATTTGCAACATTAGGCTAGTAAGTGGTATCTGCACGTGTCTATTCATTCTCCCCAGACTGTGAACTTGCGCCTCTGTGGTGCTAAGCAGCTTCCAAGAGTTCACTGCTTTCCCCTGTATCTTGTCATTTCCCACAAACCAAAGACAGGGAGGTGGAAGAGGACAGAGAATTGAGGATGCATTGAGATTTTAACTGATGACTTGTCTCTTCATTAGAGGGTACTTAGCTCAACCAAATGGTACTTATTGACCCTGGGAAAAAAACCTGGTGCTTACATTTATCGTTTTGTTCCCAGGATTCAATCATGTCAACACAGTTTTGACAAACCAAGAGGCTAAGGAGGGGCCCAACAGTGCCTACAGCCCTGTGGATTCATTATTGAAAGCTGGTGACAACAGACACCACTCACTCATCTGCCAACTGCTGATGGGTTTCAACTTTCATTCAGCAAACACACGCTTCCCCAGGACCTACACGTAAGCACTGATGGAAAGAACGTGTCTGCGTGGGCAGGTTTTGAAGCCCTGACTCCTCCGAGTGTGGTCCCAAAGGCAGCACCACCACCACCACCTGGGACTTGTCTAGGAATGCACCTTCTCGGGCCCCACCCAGATCTGCTGAATCAGAAGATACACCTGAACAAGAGCCCCAGGGCATCTGTGTGCACCTCGGAGTTCAAGAAGTGGAGTGTACCGGGTGATGGGCTAAGTCAAACCCTCAAAGCCCATTGTCTGGAATCCGAAAAGTCAGGAAGAACAGGAAATTTCTTCCAGATGGCAGAGGAGACCTCTGAGTAATGCTCCTCCAGCCTCTCAAGAGTTCCACCCCTGCCCGAAGCAAACACGGGCTGGGATGCACAGATGGATGGGCAGATGTTGGGAGAGGCCTGGGGACCCTGCCCGGGCCCTGGAAAGCCTCGGTCTTGTCTATTTTTAAAGGGTTTCAGGTGATATTGGGACAATGGCTTGATAGCAATGAACAAGGCAGCCTCATTTCAATTGCCCCTCCTGAGGCTGATGGACTCCTAACATGGCTGTGCCTGCCTCCGACAGGGGCTTCCTCCGGAATAGAAATAACTGGTTTCCTTCATCCCATGACCTCCTTTCAGGGCAGACAGCGGATGGCCAAGGTTTGACCAGACAGGACCCATGTCCTGAGTCCCAAGGCCTTTGCGTACGACTTTCCACCTTCTGATCTGCTCTCCAGATCAGAAGAATAAACAGGGCAGACATTCTCTCTGGCTAACACAGCCTCACTTGAGCAGAAAGCAAATCACCATTTAAGACAGGCTCTTTGGAGAGTCTGAAGAGTACAGCACTGTGCCTGAGAGCTGGTGGCTCTGCCCAGCCACAGACCCGGGCACCAGGGCATCCAGAGTCTAGCCTCCCTGAAAGCTGAGATGCTCAGCTGGTACCTGACTGGTCCAGGGGGAAGTAGCCTAGAGTATAAGAGCCTGGATTGAGAGCCTGGGCTCTGGATTGGCTAGTTTGCATGTAAAAGGTGCACTGCCTTCCTGATGAGTCTTTTACTGTCTCTAGGAATCAGCTAATCTGGGAGGGGCGGTCTCTCCAGGGGTCAGAAAGGCCCCAAGATGTCAAAGCATCAGAATATAAAAAGGATTAACACAAGACAGAGAAGCAAAGGCGCTTGGAGACTGAAGACTACTGGAAAGAGGGGCAGAACACACAACCGACTGGCCAGGAAGACCACTAGGAATCCAAGACTCCCTACTGATCTCATGCGAGCAGGCAGCTCACTCTCTGTCACTCAACAGCACGTTTTCTGCCTACCTGCTGCGGGTCTTGGCACTCAGGTCCTTTAAGAAAGCTATTGTGCCCTCTCCTCTGGCATTGAAGGACACTGTGCAGACAGGATGTGGAGTCTCCAAAGCCCTCTGAAGGAGAAGCTCCTTGGATTCCTCTGGAATGTCCCCCACCACAAAGTAGTAAATGGATTCAATCTGCAAAACAGTGGGACCAACAGTTTATTTCCCCGACACACCCTGGCCTGGAACCAGCCTCATCGGCAATATACTCTCTATAAAACTGCCTCTTTAAAAAATTAAATGGACAGAAAGAAGAGCAGCACTGCTGATGTTTTATGAGGATGTGTGGGCGCCAAAGTCAGGGAGTGAGATAGATTCTCAAGGCCTGGTGCCAAGAAGTCGCAGGCTTTATAGGGAGGGATATGGTTGGCAGATTTGGAGAATAGCTTCCTCCGAGCCCGCAAATACATTACACAGCTCAGGAGTGGCTCTTTTCAAGTCCAGGAATGAAGGAAGTGTTGGCGCAGCCACTGGGGGCAGGAAGCTCCTTGGCCACTCCCCCTGGCAGTGCCAGGAGTCCATGATGCAAACTCATGCATCCTCAGGCTGAGGCGGCACATGGGCAGGAGGGCGCACTCCCAGTTCGTTCATCATGTGCTCTCAACTCAGGAAACACCTGCCTGCAGAGCTGAGGCTGTTCTGACGTCACACAGTAGGTCAGGAGCCATGCCAGGCCCTAGAGCCAGGAGATACACACACATCCCAACCTTAAACCATGGACCTTGGAGATGCATATCTCACCCAGGTAGGAGACAATGCCAAAGTGATCCCTGCTTAATTTAGAGAGGTGTCAGCTCCATCCATGGGGCCCCACGTTGTGGTCCCACCCCATCCTTAACCACACTGCTGTAATAGTGTTTGTCTCCCTGGCCACGAATGAGTTTCATAGCCTCAGGCAAATGAGTTCAGTTCAGTCTCTTCACTTGTGAAAAGTGAGATTTTGCAGGTTACTTCATGATTGAACTTAAACATGACTTATAGGCATGTATGGACAGAACCCTCAGAAAGTGAAAACCTAGGGAGAGCCAGGAACACGAGCCATCTAAACGTGCTCCTAAAAACACCAGAAGTGACTGTCTCCACAGATAACTAGGGCAGAAGCCCCAGCAAACATACTGAGTTTTAAGGGATAAATAGATGTCACCAGCCCTTTGTTGGCTGAAGGTAAACAGTCAATGACCTCACCTCGACTTCAAAGCTGGGACTTAAACTCACCTGGTGCAGAGACAGGTGGGCTGACAGTCAGCTCCCAGCTGGTTAAGACGCCCTGTCTATGGCAGCATGCTGGCGGGGCTGGTGGGCAGGGTGAGCCAGTACCCAAGGGGGCAAGTGGGGCCAGGGTGGTGGGGGGCCTGGGCTGCGAGTTAGGGGAGCTCAGGGTGGAAGCTGAGCCCAACCTACTGCAGCAACAACCCTCCTCCAACTGGGCACAGAAGAGCCACGTGCCCCCACGACTCCCTCTCTCAGGCCCTTCAAGACCAGCTCCCTGATTTTAAGAAGTACATCATAGGAAGAAAAGCCTGGGGAATGCTGTAAATTTTTTCAGTCACTGGAGAGGCAGAAAAGACGACAGAAGGAATAAACAGCGTTCTCCAGATTCCTAATTGGACAATGAACACTGCTCTTTCAGCAAATGTATCCTGGGCCACTCTCTGCCTGGTGCTGTATGTTACCTTAGATAAGACACCTTAAATGGGCTCCACTGAGCTGCAGTTACCAGCTTTCCAGCCCTGTCGGTGTCCAGGTTTAGCATGAGGACGGCTTCGTCATCTCACAGGGTCTAAAATCACACATGGCCGGAGTCAGGGGAACAGACATGGGAAGTATATTCCAGGTTTGAGTAGATTAACAAGGAGGTAAGTGAGGACAAACATCTCTCGTTGGTCTGTTTGCAGCTTCTGAAACCTCGCAGCTCTGCTGCATGTCGTGCAAACTCAGCTTCTTTGCTCTGGCGATAACCCAAGAGTCTGAAACCCTTGTGCAGAAATGTTCTTCCCTCGAGATTCCATCAAACTAAAAATTGCTGCAGCCAGCAGTGAGTCAGGATTTCCTTCCCTTCATTAAGGCTCCGCACAGGGTTATTCACTATTCATCAAGGTCCCTCCTCAGCATCTTAGCTGCTGTGTTTTCGATCAGCTCTCAGATATCCGTGCTCCAGATTCCCTGGGATGTGCTTTCCCAGAGACCGGCTGTATCAACGCCTGTGCACACGGCCTCTCTGCCTCTTCCTTCTGCTCACATAATGACATTTAGAAAAACACAGAGGAAGATATAAATGCTACCTACCACTATCCTCCCCAAATTGGCAAAACGCCCTTTAAAGTGAAATGACTTTGAGGTTGTCTGCTATTTGGGATGATAAACTAAGATAGATTAGGAATTCTTGCTACCACACCCAGTTTACAGAGGAAGAAACTGAGGCCCAGATAGGTGCATCTGACTTCACTGACCTGGGCTAGCGGCTGGTGAACCCAGCCTGCCTGATCCCCCGAGCGTCTGTGCTTGCTTTCAACCACGTGTGCTCAGCCATCAGCTCATCATGGCAAGGCTGGTCCTCGCCTGTTAGAGATGATTGGGCATCCCAGAACTGTAAAGGCGAGATCATGCGACAAGAAGGTGGCCAGGGGCAGGCACTGTTTTCACTCCCATGGCCCCGGTACCATCCAAGGCTCCTACCCCTGATCTCATTACCGCTGACCAAAAATTGGGTCCAGAAGGTTGTCTGGCTTGAGGGAATTATTCTCGTGGGACTCCTCATCCCTTAACCAGTACCTCTGAGCTCCTTGAGGACACGGGGACCTGGAGCAGCTTCCTGCCTGACCAGCATTGCCCTAAAGGCTGCTTTGTACTGAATTTGGTAACGTCCAACATAGAAGACAGCGGGGTTCCGTTCAGTTCTTTTACCATGAGTCAAAAAGTCTTGCCACTTTATACCCAATAAAATAGGGTGGAGCCTCTATGTTTTCACTTGTAATGTCTTATTCTGTCCAGGCCATGTGTTCTGCAGGCTTCCCACAGCAACCTGCACTCTGCCAGGCCAAGGAGGCCCTGCCATCTTCCCAGCCACAGATCTGGGGGAAGAGAAGAACCAGGCTGAGAGCAGCTGCTTCAGCCCTGCCTGCCCTCTGCTGTGGCCTGTCAGAAGCCCCCAAGGCCTCTGAGTATAAAAATCCTCACTCTGCAAGGAAGCAAAAATGAAAGTCAACTGGAACAACAGTGAGAGCTCCAGCAAAGTCCCGTCTTGTCCTTCACATCATTTTGACCATTACAACAGTCTTGGCCAATTCCACTCCTTGGATCTAACAACCAGATCCTCCCTGTACCTGGGGCAGCCCACTCGTCGTTCAGTCCATTTTGATTTTCTGATCCACACACCCAGGTGGTGATGCCCCTTGGTGTTGATCTGGTTCCTTTCTCAGATGCCTCCTAACACCCTTGATCACCACCAATTTTCTGGCTTCCTGGGCTTTAGGGTCCTTGTCCCCACCCACCATCCCCATCACAGTCATACAAGGCTCAGCAAATTCACCTGCCTGGTCCCATGCAGATCACCTCCTTCCAATTCAAAAAGCTCAAATCGGTATCATAGCTTGGTGATGGGAATATCTTGGACCCACATCCAACCCCCAACCACAAGAATATCAACATTATTTTCTTTCCATTCCTTCCATGTTCAACAAACATGTATCAAGCCCTTGCTAGGCAGTGCCAAGGCAAAGATGAGACGATGTGATGCCTCTCTGAACCACAGCAGGGAAGTCAGTGAAATGCCAGGTTCATGACTGATGTGGCCAGTCCTTCAGCTTACGGTCCAGCAGGGAAGACCCCTTATGGAATCACTTGGGTCTGTCTCTAATTCATGCACTTAGTCTCCCAGTGAATATGATTTTTTTTAAAGTAAGAAAAAAAAGTGTGCCTATCAGGTGGGTGGAAGTGAGGTTAAGAGAACACAGAGAGAAATCTGACAGCAGAATGTGAGCCCCTCTCTTGGGCAACTGGGAATCGGGGCTTTGGATAAATAGCCCTCTGCTTCCTAAAGATGCCTTCCATCTTGGATTAACAGGCCTTCCAGGGTCTCCAGGCACAACACCCCTTCCCAGAAAGGCCAGGGAAGCTACCAACTTCCAAAAGACATGTCCCAGGACCAGAGGGTACTGTAGAGTAGAAACCCTGTGCCAGACAACACACCTCGGTTCTGGAGACAACAGCAGGCTCTCTAAACTTTTCCTCAGTACTCCGCAGGCTGCCCTTCCCATGAGCTAGGTTCTTTGTCACAGGATCCACCAGTAATTCATTCATCGATAGCGCTCTCCACTTGCCACTATGAGACACACGATTTAAAGTCTGCCCAGGCTCGTCTTGGACTCCAGGGCTCACCCTCAGTGGGCTCTCTCCGGCCAATCTTCCTGGTCCACCCGTGGTTACAAAGCCCAGTCCTGGAGGAGGCCAGTGGCCTCTGGGCATCCTCCTTCACGGGAACCAAGCACATTAGTCAGCCCTGCCTCTTCACGCAGAACTGGTACCAAAACCCAACTTCTGTGTTAATCTTTGGACACAAGACAATAAATACCCACTTTCCTGGTTCTTCTCAGGACTCACTCAGGGATGGAGATGCAACTCACAGCAGGTTATCCTGAGTAGAAAAAGCCTGGGACTTTAGATTCGCTGTTCAAAACGTTTCTGAAGCCATAAATCTTTTCTTTTCATGGCAAACTGCAGCTACATGGATCAACTCACCAGGGTGGACGGACATAAGGGCCACAGAGCAGAGGAGCAGGCCTTTATGGGAACCCGTTTCCCTCCCCAGCCCAGTTTTATTCCATAAAACACAGAGCCTGGCATTTTTATGTATAAGGCAGGAGCATTTACTACAGTTTGCCTTGGGACCACACCCAGGTACAAGCTCTAGGCGGAGAACACAGTGGTCTGAGTATGCTTCCCATTTCTCATACCCCAGTCTCTCCTCAAGAGTTTGCAAGTGGCATTTGAGGATCGGTGCCCGTAAGCTTCTTTTTCGCTCCTTTCTCTCCTGTAGGACTTCCCTGGAACTCACTAAAAGGTTACGTATTTCCTGGGCAAAGGGTAAACCCCAGAGAAAGAGGCACCAACCAGAGGGAAGTAAAACAGAAAATCGGGGTCACCAGGAAATCTTGCAGTCAGGTCAGGTAGGCAGGGTCAGCTCTGACCAGGGTAGCCAGGTAAACAGCCAAAGGAGGAGAATACCGTGTGTCTCCGTGCACAAACACACACAAACATGCACACAAACACGCACGCCATCCAAGAACCTGTGAACTATTCCATTTCTTGAATGCTTATTATGGTGTCCAGACATTTGAAATTTTACAGATGTGAAAACCAACCTGAAAGGCCAAAGAACAGAGTAGCTTGTATTTTGTTCTTCTTTAATGGGAAACATTTGTTCCTTTGGCTTTGGGAAGATAAACAGTATGTTTCCAATGCCAAACCATCACCCTCAATATCAATAAACACAGTGTGCTGACCCCTGGGGACTATCCTTTCAAGGTGCCAGTACCTGGCCTCTTTGCACAAGAAAGGACTTCTCTTTTTTTTAATTGAAGTATAGTTGATTTACAATGTTGTATTAGTTTCTGGTGTACAACACAGTGATTCGGTTACACATATATTCTTTTTCATTATAGGTTATTACAAACTATTGAATATAGTTCCCGGTCCTGTAGGGTATGACCTTGTTTAAGTAAGGACTTCTTAATACAGCAGAATAAAGCTTGAAATCTACAGAATCCCCAGGCTTCCAGAGGGCAGAGTCTCATTCTGATTGGTCCAGCTCAGCCATCACCAAAGCTGCTCTACTGATCCCATATGGGGCCTGTCCTCTCTTTCTCAATTGGTTCTAGACTCAGAGGTGAACAGGATTAAGATGCCTGGGGCTCGTCAAGGCCAATGATCTGGTCGCTATGGGATGCCACTGGGAAGGGACGAGCTCAGCTGAAAGGTGGTAGGACACTGAGTGTGCAGGAATAAGTGGGGAGCCACCTTGGTGACCTGGGACCCGGCACAGACACACACTTACGCTTTCGTCTTTCCCAGCCTCAAGCAAAGCGTCCAGGCGGCTAGTCTGGCTCACGGCCAGAGCAAAAGGCAGCTTCTCAATCCAGCTGATGGCAGCGGCTAGGGATTGTTCCGTCACAGGAACAGCATTTTCCTGCCATTTCACAGGCTCTTGAGAAACCCTGAAAGAACCACAGCTGTCAGCCCCCTAGTCTCACAGGATGAGCCCCAAGACACCCGACGTCACCAGAGCAGAGAGGAAGGAAAGGCAGACCCTGTCCCTCTGAAAGTCACTGAGAAGGTGGGTGAGCTGTTTAAGGCAGGTTTCCAAAGCACCGTGACCTTCCATAAGCTGTCTTGACTGGGAAAAAGCAACGTTTACAGGAGAATTTTAAAATCTCAAACATTCGAGCAGTAACAAGTACGTTTAAATTACTGAGGAAAGTTATTTCCATAAGCAGGTAGGTTTAGATGCAACTCTTTTCTATGAACAGTGAGTTTCTAAGGATTCAAGATTTGCAAATCAGCAGCAATTTTATTACTCCAAAATTTTATTTCTAATTCTTTTATTGCCTTGTTTTCATGGTTCTGAAAGATTCCCATCAGTTACCTTTTTTTGGATTGAAAACAGTATTGTTTTGACTTCAGCAGAGCCTAAGGTTCTAAATCCTGGGAAATTCTGGTGAAATCATGTAGTTTGGGCTTAGAAATGTGATGGACCACTCCCCAAAACAACACCACTTGAATTTATCTCCGTGTTTATAATTGAATGAATTATACAAATTTGTAATTATAAGAATTCTGTGAATCATGGTTATAAAATTCTGGTTTTTGAAGTGGAAAAAAAAAGTGAATGAAGGGCTGCAAATGGCAAATGACCCTTCTTTCTTATGGGTGAGCTGTGTCTCACTGCATGTGTGCGCTGCATCTTCTTTGTCCATCTTCTGCTGATGTGCACTTGGGATGCTTCCATGTCTTGGCGATTGTAAATAGTGTTGCTGTTAATAGCGGGGTGTGTGTATCTTTTTGAACTAATTCTTATTTTGTGGTTGGCTTTATTCCTTTGATAACTATGTAAGTTTAAAGAGCTAAAGCTCTAAGCGTTCTTAGAAACAGTCAACAGTACATATATGTATATTTTTTAAAATACATGCAGTATATTGTGTATATGTATTTACATGTAATACATTATATGTGTGCAGTCAAATTGTAACAATTCTACCTAATAAAACTGAAAATGAAAAAAATTAAAATAAATAAATAAATAAAATAAAAAGAATTCTGTGAATCATGGACTGAGTGTATCAGCTTGATTTGTCCCTCACAGCCCACCTCCAGAGGCAGAGGCTGTCACCTCTGTGTCACCTCCGTATGGCCCTCTGGGTAGAGAGTCTGGCTGAGCAGCTACATGCTATTGCACACATTTCCAAGAAAACTAAAGGAATGCAGATGTAATCACTTAATTCCTCCAACAATATGTCTGTGACAGGAATAGGAACCTGGGAGAGGACACTATTAGGCGGCATCCTTACAGCATCCTCAACGATGTCATCTGTTTAGCTGAAAGTATTTTACTTAAAAAAGAAAAACTCAATTAGGTAGATGCCCCTCTCATCCAGATGTTTTCCGTCAGGGAGGTGTGGCCACTCTTCAGCATGAGAAGTTGGCGCTGAAGTCCAAGTTCTCTTGAATCCAAGAATCTGTAAATAATCAATTGTGGAAACTCCAAAATAGGGGAAATTCTATAAAGCCAGCCACCTGTTGTTCTGATTAAAGGAGGTCAACTTACAGGGGAAATCAACTTGAGCTGCAAAATCAGCCTGAAAAACAGTGAAACTTGTGACACTGGAGTTCATTATCCAACCTAAAGTCTAAAATATGTGAAGGAATTTTATGCCCTTAAATATACAGTCAATATAATTCATATTTTTATATTTTGACCTTGCCATATATTGAAGAAAAGAACATCTTAAAATCTCTGTTAATGTGAAAACTAAGGGGCCACATGGAAGACAGATAAAAGTTTTTAAGGTTTACTTATTGTGGGTTTTCTGCTGGAATGATATATTCTAGGAAATTACAAAGTAATAGCTCCTCCCTCCCTGCAGAGCTAACCGTGTTAGTTATGCTACTTAACTCCAGATACATGAATACTTATGAAGCTTCAGAGGAGCACTCCTTTCCTATGGGAACTCACCATATGATATTGAACTTGGCTATGTGAGCCACCTGCTCCTGGAGGACCATGATTAGAGCATCTCGGCACAGATTAAGTTCCTCCTCCAGCATGTTGCCAAAATCCAGCACTATGGTGATGCACTGTTCCAAGATGACACCAAAAATCTGCCGGCTTTTGCTGGTGAGCCAGTCCATCCGCAGCTTGTACCTCTCCACAGCCTGTGTTAAATGTTCCACAAACTGATGGAGTAGTTCTGATTTGGCTGTCAACTTAATGAAAATGAAAGTAACAAAATAAAATAAAATAAGTAAAAGCACACCAAAATAAGTCACCTGACCCACAGTGCAGCCAGGAATAACAGGGCCCACTGAGTCATAGCCTTTGCCATCAGGAACTGTGCATTAATAATAATTTTCTAGACGATCCTCCAAACCCCACATAATCCAGGAATAAGTGTTCTAATCTTTTAACTGAAAAACCCTTGGATAATTCCCCAAATAAGAAAAGACAATGATGTGACCTAGTCTAAGTATAGCCCTCTTTAAAAAAAATGTGTTTCCAGATTGTGTTCAATCTTTATAGTTACAGAATTATTTTATCCAAAAGTGCTCAGGGGTACTTTAAAGAAATTAGGTAGAAGAAAAGAGACATCAGTAAAGGCAGAAGAAAACAAAAGTCTCATGAAAACATCTGCCTGCATACAACATGCTGAAAGTATTTCTGAAAATGCTTCTAAAAATGTCAGCACATCTGCCTGCCTTCCTCTAAGGGATGCCACCTTAGTGACTCATCCTCCTGCCATGGCCTTTGTCCTGTGTCCTCTTGTGTCTTAGGCCCAGCTCCTTTGGACTTGGATCACTTGATCACCCACAGCTGCCACCAAAACTCTAGGGGCTGCCCCAGAAAGGTGACAGAGTCCTGCAAATTCCCACACACAACTAAAATATTGTTCACACAGATCGCGCACCATCACCCAGGGCCTTTCAGAGCAGAGGGAGGTAGGAGACACACAAAAGAAGTGGGAAAAACTTGTGCCCTATTCTGTGAAGAATCAAATTTTAGAAAATCTGGTCCTGAAAACAAATTAACAACCCTCACAACACCCCCAAACACCTAATTGTTAAGAAAAATGTGTTTTCTGAACACATCACGTAACTCTGTTTTCATGCCTTGACTGGTGCTGGCCCCTCTGCCTTCAACTCCTCTCATTCTCATCCCTAAATGTCTCTTAAGCTTATTCCTTAAACTCAGGCATCACTTATTGCTGCTTTCCATGGCTCCTGAAGGCAGAACTCCTAACTCCCTCAGCGGAGTTCACAGCACTTCCTGCAAGTCTCCAGGACAACATGGAAACCAGGGCCAGACTGTGTCACAGGGGCTGCGGGGGTGGGGTTAGATGGCAAAGGCAGGCATTTTCAGTATTTCTGCATTGATCTTAATGTGGTTCAGATAAAAGATACATTTAGTGCACCAAAAGCAAGATTCCATGGATATTATCGCTTAGGACCAGGCTAAGTATAAAAGGAATGTAAATTTTTAAAATAGCAACAAATAACAGTCCAGGTGGTAACGGATGTACGGTGACGAGAACAAGTGTCCGTAAAGCAAAGTGATGTTACGTGCGTCTCTGGGAGCTCCCTGTGGTGGCCAGGTGGGCACAGGGCCTGACATGTGAATCATGTGTTGAGTTGCTGGGAAGGAAGGACCCCGGTAAAGGGCACAGCTTGCTCTCTGCCCACTACTAGATCCGTCCGCAGCCCTCTCCTCCTAGGGCATCTGTCAGGTAATAGAAGTTTGCTTTTGCCCTTCAGCAAATCTCTGTCATACTGCTTTTCTTTAAATTTTCCAGACAAAGTGTTGATATGCAAAGGTTTTTATTTAGCTCTAGTCAAGAGCTTCCTGCACTCATCTCTAATGGGTCAAGTGCTTCCCTTCCCAGATCCTTGGCCATGACTTTCCTCACTCTCCACGCTGTCAGAAAAAATCCTCCAGCCCTGATAAGACCATGACCCAGCTCCCCCAGCCTGAAGCAGCGGGAGCCTCTCCAGGTAGACCCAACAGCGTGTCCCGGGACCCCGTCACCGAGGGGATTCCGACTTACATTATATACCCTTCCGTCTTCTGTTCTGCAGGTCCGAGGAAACAAGCCATCGGCGTACCGGGAAGCCACAGGTCTCCCCAGAGAAGTCACATAATCTGCATGTTTTTAAAGAAAAACAGTCAACAAGGTGCATTATCAGTGCTTCCTATCTCTATTTCAAAATGCTTTTCTCTGACATCATTCCAATGATATCCCTAGGGACACCAGCAACCTGCGATGCTTAGTATGCTGTTCCAAATAATGAGGCATTTCTAGGTGCTAAGATAAATGTGACTCTTTGTGACATGTGTAATCCTTTAATGCATGAATGAATGAGGAGGAAGAACAGGGTTAGTTTCTTGGTTTCCTGGTTCTTTTGTCCAGAATGGTTAAGGCAGAGGTCAAAAAGATGACATAGAAATTGTGTGTAGTTCCGGAAGTCTGTTATTCAGGACTGGGACTTAGTTCTCAGAGTTTTAAAAATTAAACTTAGATATTATCTATTGTTTTCTCAAGTGGGGATTCGTGAATAAATGAGTGAGATGAAGCCAGCAGGTAAGAGAGTCAGAACACCCAAACACAACATCAAACCCACCTTCTCCTCAGAGCATGTGCTCAGCTGTTCAGCACCCATTCCACAAACCCTAATCAAGCACCCCCTCTGTGCTGGCACAGTGCTCACAGCGTGGGGGTACAATGCTTCCGGACACATAAGTCTACTCCTCCACTGAACTAACAGAAGGTTTCAAGGACTAATTATGACTTGGCAGGACAGAGATGAGGTAAGCCATTACAGAGATGTTTGCATTGCGAGGATTATTTTACTGTTGTTGTTTTTATTATTATTAAGTGCCATAGGTGGTAGAGAGAGGGATGGTACCCTTGGATGCAGTGCCTTCCTTCCTCTGCCTCTCTCAGGAGGCAGGGTAACAGCCTGCTGCAGAAAGGCAGAAAGGACAAGGCTGAATTTTATACGTCAGTCTCAGTCCTAAATCACCAGGAAGAATCAAATTTACACGTCTTGGAGTTCAATCATTACAGTAAAGAGCAAAGAATGGTTACTTGAATTCCATCAGCAATAACTTCACTTAGTAAACCTCTCAAACTTTAAAATCGTCATTTCCAAGATCTCAACATCGTGACTGACATTTATAGAGTAACTTCAGAGCACCAGCAGCATTCTTTCTTCACCTAAGATGTTTATCTGGAGTCAGGGGAGACTTGTCTTTTGAGAATGGAAGGAGGTGAATCTGTGTG